AGATAGNAATTAAGTTCCTAAATCTTCCTACAAATCACAATCAGCATCATTGATTTGATTGTGGTTGGTGAACTATTAAAGTTAGATAGACATAAAGTTCTGTATTAATGATCTGTATTACATTAGTTGAGATCCATCTCAGATATCATGTTTGTTAGCCACTGTACAAGTAACAAAGTTGAAAATTTGGCTAATTACTCTTCAAATGTTCACTAATATAACGTAATTAGTTTAATTAGAAACTTTACATGAAATGTTAAATTGTAGCTTAAAGATTCTAGTTTATGATATGATATAAAAACTATAAGATAGTGTTAATGAAATTTCCTGGAAAATATTATTAAAGAAGAAATTGTCTAATTTATATATCAAAGATAACGGGACATCTTCAAAAGATCATATCGACTGTATTTTTAAGAATCATGATATGATATATATGTTAAATTGAAGCTTAAAGATTCCAGTTTATAATATGATATAAAAACTATAAGATAGTGTTAATGAAATTTCCTGGAAAATATTATTAAAGAAGAAATTGTCTAATTTATAAATCAAAGATAACGGGACATTTTCAAAAAATCATATCAACTGTATTTTTAAGAACCATGATATGATATATATGTTAAATTAAAGCTTAAAGGTTCTATTTTATGATATGATATAAAAACTATAAGATAGTATTATTAAAATTTCCTGGAAAAAATTATTAAAGTAGAAATTGTCTAATTTATAAATCAAAGATAACGGGACATTTTCAAAAAATCATATCGGTTGTATTTTTAAGAATCAAGATATGATATATATGTTAAATTGAACCTTAAAGATTCTAGTTTATGATATGATATAAAAACTATAAGATAGTATTATTAAAATTTCCTGGAAAATATTATTAAAGAAGAAATTGTCTAATTTATAAATCAAAGATAACGGGACATTTTCAAAAAATCATATTGACTGTATTTTTAAGAAACATGATATGATATATATGTTAAATTAAAGCTTAATGATTGTAGTTTATGATATGATATAATAACTATAAGATAGTATCATTAAAATTTCCTGGAAAAAATTATTAAAGAAGAAATTGTCTAATTTATAAATCAAAGATAAAGGAACATTTTCAAAAAATCATATCGACTGTATCTTTAAGAACCATGGTATGATATATATGTTAAATTGGACCTTAAAGATTCTAGTTTATGATATGATATAAAAACTATAAGATAGTATTATTAAAATTTCCTAGAAAAAAATTATTAAAGAAGAAATTGTGTAATTTATAAATGAAAGATAACGGAACATTTTCAAAAAATCATATTGACTGTATTTTTAAGAACCATGATATGATATATATATTAAATTAAAGCTTAAAGGTTCTAGTTTATGATATGATATAAAAACTATAAGATAGTATTATTAAAATTTCCTGGAAAAAATTATTAAAGAAGAAATTGTCTAATTTATAAATCAAAGATAATGGGACATTTTCAAAAAATCATATATGAACTATATTTTTAAGAATCATGATATGATATATATGTTAAATTGAAGCTTAAAGATTCTAGTTTATGATATGATATAAAAACTATAAGATAATATTATTAAAATTTCCTGGAAAAAATTATTAAAGAAGAAATTGTCTAATTTATAAATCAAAGATAAAGGAATATTTTTAAAAAATCATATCGACTGTATTTTTAAGAACCATGATATGATATATATCTTAAATTGAAGCTTAAAGATTCTAGTTTATGATATGATATAAAAACTGTAAGATAGTATTATTGAAATTTCCTGGAACATATTATTAAAGAAGAAATTGTCTAATTTATAAATCAAAGATAACGGGACATTTTCAAAAAATCATATCAACTATATTTTTAAGAACCATGATATGATATAAAAACTATAAGATAGTATTATTGAAATTTCCTGGAAAAAATTATTAAAGAAAAAATTGCCTAATTTATAAATCAAAGATAACGGGACATTTTCAAAAAATCATATCGACTGTATTTTTAAGAACCATGATATGATATACATGTTAAATTGAAGCTTAAAGATTCTAGTTTATGATATGATATAAAAACCATAAAGTAGTATTATTGAAATTTCCTGGAAAAAATTATTGGAGAAGAAATTGTCTAATTTATAAATCAAAGATAACGGGACATTTTCAAAAAATCATATCGACTGTATTTTTAAGAACCATGATATGATATATATGTTAAATTGAAGCTTAAAGATTCTAGTTTATGATATGATATAAAAACTATAAGATAGTATTATTAAAATTTCCTGGAAAAAATTATTAAACAAGAAATTGTCTAATTTATAAATCAAAGATAAAGGGACATTTTCAAAAAATCATATGAACTATATTTTTAAGAATCATGATATGATATATATGTTAAATTGAAGCTTAAAGATTCTAGTTTATAATATGATATAAAAACTATAAGGTAGTATTGTTGAAATTTCCGGGAAAAAATTATTAAAGAAGAAATTGTCTAATTTATAAATCAAAGATAACGGGACATTTTCAAAATATCATATCGACTGTATTTTTAAGAACCATGATATGATATATATGTTAAATTGAAGCTTAAAGATTCTAGTTTATGATATGATATAAAAACTATAGGATAATATTATTGAAATTTCCTGGAAAAAATTATTAAAGAAGAAATTATCTAATTTATAAATCAAAGATAACGGAACATTTTCAAAAAATCATATCGACTGTATTTTTGAGAACCATGATATGATATGTATGTTAAATTGAAGCTTAAAGATTCTAGTTTATGATATGATATAAAAACTATAAGATAGTATTATTAAAATGTTCTGAAAAAAGTTATTAAAGAAGAAATTGTCTAATTTATAAATCAAAGATAACGGGACATTTTCAAAAAATCATATCGGTTGTATTTTTAAGAACCATGATATGATATATATGTTAAATTGGAACTTAAAGATTCTAGTTTATGATATGACATAAAAACTATAAGATAGTATTATTGAAATTTCCTGGAAAATATTAAAGAAGAAATTGTCTAATTTATAAATCAAAGATAACGGGACATTTTCAAAAAATCATATTGACTGTATTTTTAAGTACCATGATATGATATGTATGTTAAATTGAAGCTTCAAGATTCTAGTTTATGATATGATATAAAAACTATAAGATAGTATTATTAAAATTTCCTGGAAAAAATTATTAAAGAAGAAATTGTCTAATTTATAAATCAAAGATAACGGGACATTTTCAAAAAATCATATTGACTGTATTTTTAAGAATCATGATATGATATATATGTTAAATTGAAGCTTAAAGATTCTAGTTTATGATATGATATAAAAACTATAGGATAATATTATTGAAATTTCCAGGAAAAAAATTATTAAAGAAGAAATTGTCTAATTTATAAATCAAAGATAACGGGACATTTTCAAAAAATCATATCGACTGTATTTTTAAAAACCATGATATGATATATATGTTAAATTGAAGCTTAAAGATTCTAGTTTATGATATGATATAAAACCTATAAGATAGTATTATTGAAATATCCTGGAAAATAGTATTAAAGAAGAAATTGTCTAATTTATAAATCAAAGATAACGGGACATTTTCAAAAAATCATATCAACTATATTTTTAAGAACCATGATATGATATATATGTTAAATTGAAGCTTAAAGATTCTAGTTTATGATATGATATAAAAACTATAAGATAGTATTATTAAAATTTCCTGGAAAAAATTATTAAAGAAGAAATTGTCTAATTTATAAATGAAAGATAAAGGAACATTTTCAAAAAATCATATCGACTGTATTTTTAAAAACCATGATATGATATATATGTTAAATTGAAGCTTGAAGATTCTAGTTTATGATATGATATAAAAACTATAAAATAGTATTATTAAAATTTCCTGGAAAAAATTATTAAAGAAGAAATTGTCTAATTTATAAATCAAAGATAAAGGAACATTTTCAAAAAATCATATCGACTGTATTTTTAAGAACCATGATATGATATGTATGTTAAATTGAAGCTTAAAGATTCTAGTTTATGATATGATATAAAAACTATAAGATAATATTATTGAAATTTCCAGGAAAAAAATATTGAAAAAGAACGACTTAACGTCAAGAGTGTGTCTTCGAAATTGGGTTATCGTATTTTAGTTCATGTCATTCATTAAATCTTTTGATCAAATAAGTTTCTTTTGAACAACAGTTTCGATTTTGATGGATGACAATGCTTATTATTTACTTTTTGGCAATCCAGTGTAAAACCGCTCAATAGATTTTCATTTTCAATCATTATGAGTGACCCAATTAACATATAATGGTAGTAATTTTACAAATCGTTGAGTAATAATGAATTCATTAAACTTCTCATTCCAAGAGTCCGTTTCAAATCATAAAGATTGTATTGAATTTTCAGAAAGTCACATTTTTTATTATCTATTTTAACTGTAAGCATTCTATTTATACAAGTCTCTTGTACATCTCTTTCAATATCCTCTTTCATTATTTTATCTTCTTCATCAATATCGATGATTTCTTTTTGAGCATCAAATTAACGAATACAATCTTAAGTCAATTTCTCTTCGTAGAACAATGTAATAAAATATATCACTTATAGTGTGTTATTTTCTTTCATAAAAACACGTTTTATATTATTACTAAAATTTCGTAAGATGATGATTAAAAGTCACGTGTAATATATTATGATCGATTTCTAAAATTTCCTGTTAGATTTCTTCTACTATTTGTTAAAACTAACAAGGTGTACACAGGATATTACATAAACTCTATCTAAAATTGAATAAACCGTATAAGAGAGTTGGATTAATACCGAAAGAAAAAAAAAAGAACAGTAAGTTTCTTCCGTGTTGTATAACTCATTACGTTTACGGTCTATAAATTTTGATTAAGCTTCTTTAAAAATGCATATAAAAGTTAATAATAAAAAATACTTACAAATATCGTAAAGAACTTCATTATTATTTAACTCATAAAAAAGTTAAAATCACTTTTTCACAAAAATTAAAACCACCAAATAAAGAAGAGGTGTTCTTTAAAAGTATTTCTTGGAAATTAACGGATCGTGTTCACTTTTTTTGTTATACACTTCGATGTGAAGTATCTGATGGTTGATGTCGTACTGTTTTATAAGTTGAGCGGTGCACTTCTTTAGGATACCCCAAGAAGTAGTAGTAGTAGTAGTTGAGGGGAGTAACGGTACCCGCATAGTTCCACTGAAAACTGGACAAACGCCGATTTACGTTGAATTATTAACACAGAGAAGAGAACGTCTCATTGTGTACCCCAAAAAGATCTCATCGCGCGATTTATTTATCTTTCTTTTTTATTATTATTATTTAACGAGTGTCCGGTTTTAATTCTTTTAGAAATGTAGATCAGTATTACAATAGTTGTTCGAAGATGACTTACCGTGATTTTGTAACAGTAACCCAAATTGGAAACCTCTTCATGAATTAATTTAATCTCCTCGATTTTTTCATTTCTTGAAACAGGATTAAGTAAGAATGTTTTTCTTGAGTTAAATTTAAAACCAAAAAGTTAATTAAATAAAGGATTTCAACAATTGAAATAAACTAAAATAGGAACAAACAAATTAAGTTAAAAATAACGTTACAATAACACATTTTAATTTAATTTATTGATTAATTAAAATCTGCACAAAACATATCTTGCTAGAATACATAATTAAACTATTTTTTTTGATTTAATTCATTTAAAGCTAATTGCATTGACCAAATACTAAGTGGTCTCATGTAACCAATACTTCTATAATAATTCTTCTCATACAAAGCTTCAGGAGTTTCAAAAGCTAATCCCAATTTGTCCCTCATTGTCTTATAAAGACCACCTGCAGTTTGAAAAGCTTCATCCACCATTCCCTAAAATAAAAAGGGATATGACGCAAATCAAATTTTAATTAATTCTTACTTCATAAATCATATTTGCAGCTAAACCATAAGTAACACCAGTCCACATTTCTTCACTTTGTACAGATATCTTATCGACTTTTCCTGTGGTTAAAAATCCGTTAACAGCCCCCATTTGCCCCTTAGCAAACTTCAAAACGTTATTTTCAAAAATCGTTTTTAAAGAGCTTTTAACATGGTTTTCAGGGAAAACTTCGTATTTTAATCCGCTCGTTCTTAAATACCAGTGGCCGCAAAGTTGATCAGACATAATAGTTTCTGATGGATTTTTAGACCCGCAATCGAAATTGTAAAATTTTCCATTCCACAATTTTTTTTCAAACGATTTTTGACCACGATCGAAAATTTCTTTATAAAAGTCATAATCGTCCGATTTTCCTAATACTTTCGTTATTTCCATCATTGAATAAATAGCAGATAACCATAAACCACCACAATAAGCACTAAAACAATTTAATTTAATAACAATATTAATAAGATTTTGTTAATTTACCTCGTTCCATTCATAACCCAACTATCGTAAGTTTCGTCGGGCATCCCTTCATTTTCAATTAAACCATCATGATCGGAATCAAATTTCAAAGTAAACGCCATAACGGTTTTACAAGCATCATATAAATCGCTTAAATACTGATTTGGATCACAGAAATTATTTGATTTCATTAATTTGTAATCTCTATAAACTTGCAAGACAAATTTTACGTTTAAATCTCTCCATTCGCTAACATCGTGTATTGGATAACCATTTAAAAGTGAATATGGCTCAAATTCTAAAAAAATTTTTTTTTAATTGTGTCATTTTTAAATTTTTTATTCAACCTGGATCTCCTAAGTCATGGGGAACTGTATTTTTAACTTTTCTCTCGACCGTTTTTCCATCATAAAGCATCCAAACTTTTCGTTTATCCTCGGCGAAAATTGCATCTTTAAATTGGTATTGAATCGATTGTTGTAAATGAGGAAAATTCATAATTAAAGCGTAAGATGCGTAAAAATGAACATCGTAAGTGTTGTACATGCGATATTCGTGTCCTTCTAAATAAGCAAATTTACCGTATTCGATCCTAAAATTAAATTTTTTTTGTTTAATTTAATATAAAAATATTAAATTAAATATTCTACTAAATATATACAGGTGTCTCACGTAACTGGTTCGTTAGAACTTTTTTAAAAATTTAAAATTTCCGACTTTCTCGCCATTGAATAATTCAATTTTTGGCCACCCTGTATAAGATACTCCGAGACAACAAATGACAATCTATTTGACAACATCTGAAGAGTAATCGTGCCAAAGTAGATCTTTTTTGAATGAACTTTGGCTGAGATATGGAGTTTTAAAGAGCATGTTGAAATTTACCAAAAAAAGTTTAAAACCAAAATAACTCGAAAACGAAAAACGCTAGGTTCCAATAACTTTTAAAAGCATTCCATTTAAAATAGCGAAGTTATGGTCTATTTCTGGTAGACCGGAAGTGGCGGCCATCTTGAAAATATTTTAGATCGAAAGTTCCGAATGAACAACCCATGCTGCCAAAATTTCAAATCTCTACGAATAGTGGAATCTGAAAAAGTTCTAACGAACCAGTTACGTGAGACACCCTGTATAATATTAAATATACAGGTATGTGAAATGTCTAGGACCAGTGCCGGCGCTTGCAAATGAAGCGCCAGGGTGCGGGAACCGGAGTGGCGTCCCCCCCTAAGTATTTTTATGACTGGAAATACTCTGGTCAGAAGATTAATTTGCAAGAAAAAGTCTGAAATTGCAATAGTTATAAACTAGACTTCAGCAAAAAACAGGAAGTACATTGTTCAAAGTCCACATGAAGTCTGAAATTACTGTTCAGAGAAAACAAAAAATTGATTATAAACCAAACATGATTTTTCATGGCAATACTTATGTGTTCAATAAAAGAATGCAAAGAATATGAACAAGAAACCAATGGACTTGTCTTGTTATTGCCCAGGACAGGAAATCACCAATACGGAAACTTTGCCAATGCAGGATAAGCACAAAAGCAAAGTAACAGCTGCAGAAATGAGGTACCGGGTGGTACAAGATCCGTATAGATAATAAGAGGCTCCCAAAAAAATCTACTGCTTCTAAAAAACTAGATACTGCTATCTGAAGACTAGATACTGCTCTGGAAGATTAAATACTGCTTTCTGAAAACTAGATACTGCCGAAAGGTCTAAATACAGCATCTGGAATATTAAATACTGCTTTCTAAAGACTAGATACTGCTGACAGGTCTAAGTACTGCAAAAGAAAAATAAGATATTGTTGGAGAAAACATACATAACGTTGGCAGAAGACTAGATACTGCTTCTAGAAGACTAAATACTGCTTTCTGAAGACTAGATACTGC